ACTCTTTCCATGGAGCTACCCTCTGCCTGGGTGGAGGGTACATAGGGGATGTGCTGAGGTTTCTGGAAGGATGTTTGCGGTCTCCTCGACCCTCTCATTGAAGAAGACAGAAGGAGGGCAGATGTGGTTCTGGGTCGTAGCTGCGTGTGTGCAAGTTCAGGTGTGTGGGGTGGGGACATGCATGTGCGCGCGCGTGTGTGTGTACAGGTGTGTGCGCTCATTGTATGTTTAGGTCTGTGTGGAGAAGGTGATGTGTTTGCACAAGGACCAGGCAGCTGGGGTATCAAGAGGCTTTCTCAGTCACCTTGGTATTGGGACAGTAACACCTGAGCCGGTGGGGGCGGGGTAATCCTCTGGATTTTCAGAGGAAAAGAGGCCAGACTGGGGACTGCCTGGATTTCTGGCACTGCCACCCTTCACAACCTGCCAGACTGCCTGGAAGGTCTCCCTGTGCAGTCAGTTCAGTTCAGTTCAGTGAACGTTTTTTGGACACTTGCTGTGTGATAAGAGCTGGGGATGGAAAGTCGGATCAGACAGGTCCCTTTTGCAGGGGCAATCTGGCCAGCGAAGGAGACAGATTGGTGAATGAGTAATTATCCAGAGCAAAAGGGAGTGACTGACAACCTCAGGGAATCTAGGCAGGCTTCCCGGAGGGGGTGACTTTGGGGCTGAGTCATAAGGAAGGGCAAGGGAAGAGGGTGCAGCAGGGAGGTGAGAGCATCTGTCCCATAAAGGCCCTCGTGACCACTCCCTGCTTGGCTGGGCTCTCTAAGCCATCTGCAGTCTCCTCGTAGGCTGGCACCTGATCCCGTGCTGCTTTGATTCATCTTTGTGTCTTTCCAAGAATGTCAGAGCTGGGAATGTCCATCCTGAGCGTTTTGTCGGTGGTGATGCAAAGGCCAGTGCCCCCTCCGCCCCCCCGCCCCGTGACTGAGCCAGGAGGAAGCCCCAGGTCTCCTGACTCCTGCTGCGCTGCCGTCCTGTGTTAGTCACGTGTCCCCTCCGCCTTTGGAGCTCTTCGGGGCAGGGGCCTTCCCGCCGGCAGCAGAGCACCAGCACCAAGCCAGGTCTTTGGTCGAATCCTGCTGAGGTCCCTCTCGGTGACATCACCCTGGTGTCCCGTTGCCATGTGAACAGAGGCACCCAGGTCCCCGGGAGAGGGGGGATAGAGTGCTGCTCTGGCCCTGCACTCCCAGCCCCTCGTTTTTGCCCTTCAGGCTGAGAACTTTTTGTGGGTGATTAAACCCAAAAGCCCTCAGGTGTGAAGCGCAGCGGGCCCCAGCGCGGCAGGAAGCATCACGCTCCCTGTTGTAATGCTTCCCCCTTGCTTCTGAGCTGGCAGCTTGACAGGGGTGCTGTGCCTTTTCGTTTTATGACTTTGTTAAGAGGGTTCTAACTGGGAAACTTCCATCTCTGTTTGCACTGCTTCCTGCCAGTTGGAAAGATGCTGAAGCCGCTGGTAATCCATAATAATATCCTGAGGAGAGGAAAAAAAGAGCCCATTAAAAAAAAAAAAAAAACCACAACTCAGAAGCTAGTTGTGGGAAATTGTGGCCTGGAGCTACATTGCGATGTTAGTGCTTATGGGGATAGAAGTGGCAGAAATGCCCCAACGTGACTCCAGGTCCTAGCCAGGGACGCTAGTCCAAAGGGGACCACAGGCTTTGGGACGTTCTCCACCACTCCCCTCCCTGGGTCTGTGTCTGATTGCTAAGGTTGGCAGGTACTCTCAGAATTTCTCTGTGGAGATCCGCTGCTTTTGAAATTCTAAGGCTGCCCGGTGGTGGGAAGGGCCCAACTGTGCATTTCAAACCTCCGCAGCTAGAACAGTCGTCGACTCCGTCGTGCTTTTGTTGAGAGGGGGACAGGGGTGGCCTCGGGCCTTCTGTGTTAGGGATTCAACCTTGTGTTTGTCAAATGGTAGATAGCGCTACCTTGGGGGTTCATAAAATTTCTTGTCATCCAGAAGTGAATTCTCATGGTCAAGATCTTCTTTTTCTACAGCCTATTAACTAAGAATGGATTTTACATATTTTAAACACTTGTGGAAAAAAAAAAGGCAAAGAAGAGTATATGACTGAGACCACATGTGGCTCACAAAGCCTGAAACATTTATCATGTCTTTACGGGAAATTTTGCTGACTTCTGGTTTAAAGACTTGCTCTATCCTTCCATGAACCCAGTCATAAATGTATTCATCCACCTGCCCACCTGTGTGTATGATCAATCTCTCATCCACTCATCTAGCCAGGCTTTCACCCACTCATCTGTCCTTCCATCTGTCCATGCACCTAATGATATGTCCATCCACCCATCCAGCCAGCCAGTCATTCATCAGACTCCCCGTCCACCCATTCATCCATCCATCCGTTCATCCGTCCGTCCGTCCGTCCGTCCGTCCGTCCATCCGTCCATCCATCCATCCATCCATCCATCCATCCATCTATCTGACTTACCCGTTCCTTCTGGACAGAACATCACAGGATGTTTACAACACCGTAGACACCGAGCTAGGCCTTGGATCCCCAAAGAGGGAAAAGGCCCCCAACCTGCCCTTGAGTAGGTCTCCTTTTTCTGTTGAGGGAAAGGTTGGAGGTGGAGAGGAAAACTATATATGTAAACAGTTGTGCTACTCTGTGGTAAGTATAATTTGTGCAAAAGTCTGCATGAGCATGGGGGTCAGAGAGGTCTATTCCCCTTTGGGGTGTCCGGGAAAGTTGGCAGAAGAGGTGCCACTGACATGGACTTTGCGGGAGCCACCAGGCCAAGGTGGTAGAGGAGGGCAGGTCGTCAGCATAAGAACACTCACAGGCCTAAAGGAACGTGATATGTGTGGAGAACAGGGCACCATCACACGTCGTTAGAACATGGATACGTTTGGAAAGGCAGGTTTCCAAGTGGGTCAAGTGATGGGTCCAAAACCAAGGTTAGGACCAAACTGAGATGTACCTAAAATGCCAAGCTAGAAGGCTCCTGCTTTTCCTTGCATATAATGAGTCATTGGAGATTTTAAACTGATGTGGCCCCTAGACACCTTTAATTCTCTGTTTCCTCATCTAAAACAAATCCCTCTCCTAGTGTAACCGAAAGTGCGGTCTGGCTGCTCGCCACTCAAAAGCCAATAAAGAGGCCACGTTGGTGGAAAGGAAAGTTTGCTTTATTTTGGATGCTGGCAACTGGGGTGGGGAGTGGCACAGTGCGGACGCCCGTCCAAAGGCCGACTCCCCACCACTGACAGTCGGGGGCAAGAGCTTTTATAGACAGAGGGAGGGGGCTACACGCAGAAACAGCACAGTCAGCTCTGACAGTCATCTTGAAATTGGTCTTCAGGGGTCTGACCAGCAGCATCTTGATTGTATTAGGTACAGTTAATCTTCAGTTCGAGGTTCAGTTTGCTTCCATCTCTTTGAGGCCGGTTCTCGGAATTGTGGCAGCTTGTGTCGTGGCTACAGCCTGGTCATCATGTGGTTCACTTCTTCCAGCTGGTGGGCGTTTTAGTATCTGTAAGACAACAGCTCGCAGGATACGGCTCAGGATATTATCTGTAGGCCTTAAGGAACTAAAGGAACTAAAGGTCCTTGACTGTGTTTAATGACTAAACTATTACTATTTGGTCTCCTTTGACTGTTTTCCTTTGTTTCTGCATTTTCTCATTTCTCTGATTAAACTTATTCTTTGGCCACAATTTTTCCACAGACAAAAGGCAGACCGAGGACGTGGGGTAGGGGGTGGGCAAGGACCATAGGGTCCTGCTCCGTTTCACTAGCAGTTGCAGAAAATTCCTATCATGGGTCCCTCCTTTGGACCGAAGCATTGTAGGCCTGTGCATAAGCCAGTCTGCTGACTGGGAGAGGTGACTCTGGAAGCTGTTACCATCTGAGACCCCAGGAGGAGGTCCCTCACCCAAGAGGCCCTATGTGATCTGATCCTCATCCACGTCTGCGCCCTTTCCTCTGACCACTTCCTGCTTCCTGCACCCCAGCCTCACTGGCCTTCTTGCTGTCCTTCAGGTGCTACAAACGCAGTCACATTGCATGGGTTTTGCACTTGTCCTTTCCTCCACTGGCATGTCCTGCCCGTGCTCTTCTCACAGCCAAGTTCTTCCTTCTCATTCTGGTCTCAGTTCAAGTGTCACCTTCTCAAAAAAGTGGTGCCCAAAACTTAGTGGCATAAAACAACCATGTTGTGATGTTCACAGATTGTCCGGGCCAGGAATTCGGACAGGGCAAGGTGGGGAGAGCGTGTCTGTGCTCCGTGATGTCTGGAGAAGACTAAGATCAAGGAGTGACTTGATGACCACTGGGGCTGGAATCAACCAGAGGTGCCTTCACACCAGCAGCTGCTGCTCGGTGCTGGCTATTGTCTGGGACCTCAGCTGGGCTGGCGGCCAGAACACTTACTGGTAGTCTCTCTGCCTGGGCAGGTTTTGGCTTCCTCACAGCATGGTGGTTAGATTCCAAGAATGAGTGTCCCAAGAGGGAGCCAGGAGGAAGTACATGACAT